AGGCGCCCACCACCATGCCCGGCTATTTTTGGTTTTTTTTGTATTTTTAGTAGAGAGGGTGTTTCACCATATTAGCCAGGATGGTCTCGATCTCCTGACCTCGTGATCCACCTGCCTCAGCCTCCCAAAGTGCTGGGATTACAGCAGTGAGCCACCTCGCCTGGCCCTCAGTGCACTTCTAAGACACTGTAAAACTAGTCCCAGAATGTTAACTGCACAGATACAGTTTTAGAGACAATTTAGGGTGTTCACGCACCCTCTTGAACCCCCATCCAGGGGAGAGAAATTAACCAGAGCTTGCAAATTGACAGCCACAGGCCCTATTGCAAACAGGTGTTGCTTGCCACCTTCCTTCCTTCCTCTCCTCCCGCACAACTTTAAGTTTTTTTTAGCACCCTGCCTAGAAAAAAAAAAAAGTTTTTCCTAGTCACAATCATAAACATGCAGATTTCTCTTTTAAAAGCTAGGTTTCAGTTGCCTTTTTTATTTTTTTTGAGGCAGAGTCTCACTGTGTCACCCAGGCTGGAGTGCAGTGGCCCGTTCTTGGCTCACTGCAACCTCTGCCTCCCGGGTTCAAGTGATTCTCATGCCTCAGCCTCCTGAGTAGCTGGATTACAGACATGCACCACCACACCCGGCTAATATTTTGTATTTTTAGTAGAGACGGGGTTTCACCGTGTTGGCCAGGCTCGTCTCGAATTCCTGGCCTCAAATGATCCACCCACCTCAGCCTCCCAAAGTGCTGGTATTACAGGCGTGAGCCACCTCGCCCAGCCACAGATACTTTTGGAAAGCAGAAACTCTTGCCCCAACACCGCGAATGAGCACGCCTCATAGTGAGGACCGTGAGGTCAAGAAGAACAGTGATCATTAGGAACCAATGATGTTGAGAAGCCTGAACCCTCACCACCTGTTTTTTTTTTTTTTTTTTTAGTAGCTATTGTTTACGTTCCCAGGGTAGGAACAGCCTCTTATCACCTCTGTCTAGCCAGTGCCCAGGGCAGGGCACACCGTTAGCACCAATAAATGTTAAGGAGGAAGCCTGGAAACAAGAGGGTGTGAACTCGGCCCACGCGACACATTTTGCGCTCGAGCCGCCAGGGGGCGGTAGGACCTGGGCCAGGCCGTGTCTGGTCGTGTGGGGGAGGCGGGCAGCCCCAGAACAGGGCGGTAAGGGCGCATTCCCGCATTCTGACCCGCACCTCTTGGGGTTTTCTCGGGCCTCCCTCGGCCCGCCGTGCTCCCGCCCCACCCCAGACGAAGAGGACCCAGAAAAAAATAGGCTGCAGTGCCCTGAAAGAAGAGGCTTTATTGGGGGTGGGGGTAGTGGGGCAGCCGCGGCGGTAACTCCGGCCCTCTTAACAGTCAAGGGAGAGAGTAGTTCAGTTTGCTTGGCAGAGAAGGGCTGGGCAGTTTCACTGGCGGAGTTGTGGGTGGTGGTCAGTTTCCCAATGGGGGACTGTAAGTTTTATAGAGGGGGCTGGTCAATTTCACAAAGTCAAGTCGATTTCATCTTCCCCAATGCAGAGGGCCGACCCGTCTCCAGGCCTTTTACTAGACGCACCCCGCCCTGTTCCTCTGACACGCACGTTACTTCCGGCCGGGGGTCCCAGCCTGCTCAAACCTCAAGGTTTGCGCTCCTCCTGGGGACAGAGGGCCAGAAGGAAGACCGGCCTCAGGGACCTGCGCACCGCACCCAGGCTCAGGGTGGCGATTTGTGCCCCAAGACCACTGTCTTCTCTTTACCCCGGGGATGCGTCCCAGACTGAGTTCTGACCAGAGTGGCCCTCCAGTGGGGATGTACCTTTCCCCACCCAGCGTCCTGGCACGGGAGGGGTGGGGGGAGCGACAAGGGCTAGAGGCATACGGGTAAGGGGGCTCCCACCTGCTCCAGGCCGTTCTCCGAGGCCTTTCTGCGGGGGGGCCACATCACCGCCAACTTTCCGTCGCCCCTGCTCGCTGCGGGGGAAGGAGCGCTCAGCTCACCAGCGGGCGGCAGCCAGGATGAAAGAGGCCGGCCGCACCCCTTAAACACACACAGGCGTTCACCCTCCGCCCTCCCCCCATGAAAGCCTCCATTCAACTCCAGGCACCCAGGAACCCGAGGGAGGAGGGAGGTGAATCCAGAACGGAGAAGCAGGAGCCCGAAAATTCAGAGGGAGGACCCAGGAGTGCCAGAATCCAGTCAGGGTTCCCTGGAACCCGACAAAAAGGAAGACATCTGGAATGCCCCCACCCCCGCGCAGTCTGCGTGGTGTGGATCAGAGAGTCCATCACTCCGGGTGGAGGGGTGGATCACAGCGAGTAATAGAGCTCCAGAAAGGGTAAGCAAGACACAAAGTTGAGAGGGGGTCCCAGGAGTTTGAGAGCTTGGAGAGAGAGACCCCGAGAATCGGAGGGCCAAAGGAGAAGCCACTGAAGTTGGGCAGTCAGTGGGGACGGCTGGAACCCTGGGGGTCCCCGGCGTTGCTACGCCTGCGGCTTACCGGTGAGGCTCGGCGTAGGCTCCTTGAACTCCGCGGTGCCATAGACGCTGCGCCGCTGGCGCTGCAGCT